GTGCCTAATCAATCTTTTCAGTGGGGATTTAGGAATTAGGACATGTTTGGTTTGAGGCTTTGAGCCTAGAAAAAACTTAATGTGAGATTATCGTATGGCTTAGTATGCCTACAGCCTGTTCGTTTGGTTGTGGCTTGTCGTAAACGATCGTAAATTTCTAGCCGGAACAGTATTTTTCTCTCACACAAACCAGCCAGCGATCTTTCTTAACGAACCAATGAACGATCTGAACCAAACCAACCGAACATCTTGTTTATTCGTTTTGTTAGAAGCATTATTAAAGTTCCCACATGCTTCTTTAGGCCTCTGAGTCTCAGGTGGACTTTCTAATTTCTTGAACTAATATTCATTGTAAATGTTTAAAGGTTACTACAATAACAACTCTTAAAGCTTATTTTGAATTTCAATATTTAATAAATACGGAATGAATATGGATCTATCCCACCTAAAAATAGGATTTAGCAAAAGTAGACAAAAAGCACCTCATCCCTTCATCTCGTTCCACACTATAGAAATGGACAGGATAAATATAAAAAAAGCCATGTTAAGCTTGAACTTATCATCCTGGCTTATGAGACATGAATACAGTGTTTTCTCTCACAACAAATCAGATTTAGCACCTTATCGACCGAAACCATCAGCCCGAGAGTATGCATTTGTTATTGCTGCTCATTCTTGCCTTCTGCTGCTCTTGTTGATACCACCGTGTATGTTATTGCTGCTGCTCTTGTTGATACCACCGTGTATGGTATGACATGAGCAAAAATAATGAACGTATACTCCGGCCGTGTAGGGAGTATGCATGAACGGATCGAGGTCTCGCCCTTCATTCATGGTTGAGCAAAGATAGCAGCATTAACTGCACAATTGGCTGCTCAATGAATAACTCGATCGATACATTTTCTCAAAAATCCATTTGTCCTTACTTCCACGGACAAAAGAAAAAGGGAAATTTTGCTGCAGGACACCGCTAAAATGCATAATATGTTGATGGACACCGTCCGAACGAGAATTTGCCCAAAGACACCACAAATTCGTGGTTCTTTGACCAGACACACCGCACCGATTATTTTAATCATTTCTTAGATCCGCGGAGAGAGAAGGTGGGTGAAATGATTTTTTTGCCCTCGTCTTCAACCTCCAGTTGGTCACTGTTTTTTAGTATTTTGTCGACACATTAAGCTTAGCTGCAGAATGAAAAATAAGAGAACAATCTTGCATAAAGGCGGCGTGATGTGTTACAAAGAAAAAAATGACTAGCCGTAAGTTGAAGACAAGGGCAAAAAAGTTATTTCACCCACCTTCTCTCTCACAAATCTAATAAATGATTAAAATAATCGATCGATAAATTACGAATTTGTGATGTCTTTGAGCAAATTCTCGCTCGTGGTGTCCATCAAGACATATTATGTATTTTAGCGGTGTCTGCTAAAAAAATTTCCCAAAGAAAAAAAGGTTAAGTGTATCTATAACACTACCACACAACTAATAATTTTTACAAGTGTCTCCTATTTTTTCCTAAGAAATTGTTTACTTAGCAAATCATTTCTAACTAAGGCCCGGAGCACGGTTATTACTGAACCACCCTTAAAAAACATATTTATTTTTAGAGATAGAAGATTTAAGATACTCATTTCTAAAAATATAATTTCTAGGGTCGTTGTTTATGTCAACCGCGCATGAAAATGGATGATCTCTAGGCTAGTCATCAATCACCATAAGAAATTGATTTTGAGAGATGGTTGACTAAATCAACATACTGAAAAATTCAAGTAACATCGGATGGAGACATATCTTATAATCAAAGTTGCGTGCTCGACTAGTTTTAAAACTTTGTAGATGATTTTTTATTTAAGATTGTTTAGAAGTCAAAATACTCAATACAAGATTCGTACATGTTAATACTATGTGGAAATGTTTAGGAGTATACAAGAATAGCAACGCATCTTCGATCACAGATAAAACCAGAAAATCCACCCTCACACGGAGAGAAACTCTACCGAACAAACCTCCCCCCCGCTCGTCGTGAAAATTTGGCCGTGAAAGATTTTCAGCATCGAATCAACGCCGGGTTCCATGAGCCGTGGGCTGGATCGGGAGGCCCGTGACCGACCCAAGGGCCAAGGATCCGCTGGGCTCGGCCTGGGTAGTTGGGCTGAATCCTGTCCAGGACCCGGGGACAGCGAGCCAGCATTTCGCCCTTTCCGGACGCACGGCATAATTATCCACTGCCCCGCCTCGGTACCCGCGTCCCAGTAAAGTGACTGGGAGGGTGGGCCCCACCCTGACGGCGTCGGGCCTGTCCGTTTCCACCCGACATGGGGTATCGGCAGCGGGCAACAGTAGAAAAAAGGACTTTCTGCTGCTGCTGCCACTCCACGCTTTTACTACCACCGCCTGTGCACGTATAAATGCGAGCTCAGACGATCTTGTACATCGTTTTTTCGTCTCTACTGACCGATCAAAATTATATAGCTCTCCTCAGAAAAACCAAAATTATACCAGCTCTCCTAAGAAAAAACGTCTCTATTGGGAGCCTCTAACTATTATGCACCTAGAAAAATACATACAGAATTTCATCTCCATTAAAATTAAGAGCTAATAAAACACCAAAACTCATCCGACGGCCGATGTTTGATGTGTAATGCCAGGCTTCTCACCCCCGCGTCCTCCATCCCATGCACGAGGGCTTCAAGTGAAGTGCCCCATAGCTACGTATAACTACAAGTGGCGCTTACTAGATTTAAGGGGCTTTGAAGTTTGAAAAAAATATGCTAATGAATTATAGCTCAGTGAAGTGCCTATTTTGTCAGTGTCCAGGTCAACTAATGTTGTTTTCACCAATCCTCTGAAACTGGCTTCATGGATGCAGACTATAGAGTGATGTAAAAATTTGGTAGAGAATTTTTATCGCATAGACTTATGCATTGGTGACACATTGTTCCCTAAAACCTGCAGATGACGAAGCCAGCAGAGAGATCACTATGCGGTCCAAGAACAATGAACTTGCTAATGTTGCTAGCTTGCTTGAGAATCTCCAGCAGACTTAGTATGAACAACTCCTCCTCCATAGCCGCCTCCCCCTGCCCTCGCCACAACCCTCTACCTCACAACAGGCGTGTTACAACAATACTTGAGCTTATTGCTATTTGTTTTTTTTAAAAAAAAAATTGTATCGTGATGCATAATCCAACACTTGATCCAAGGCCGGCTTCTACCGAGCGAGTGATGCACATACATCTCTGCATCTGAATCCTTAACATCCTTAACAGTATCTCTCGGTGTTTGACGTTGTTGAACGTATCTCTGTCTTTTTCTTTGTATCGCATTTATGAAACCTTGAAATAATCTTAGGACACCTTCCGACCTGCAGTCTTTGGTAGCTCTGTGGAGTGAGAAGGTAATTCTTTTTTTTGATGATAATGCAAGTGCTCTTAATTTTGCCTTTTATTTTTGTTTTTGGGTATCTTTTGGTCTTTAAAATTGTTTGCTCTAGGTAGGTATCTTTACAAACTTACAATTTGTCATGTGATCTCTGTGGTATGTCAATCTAGAATTACCATCGTTATTTATATGAAAAATTATCCGCTTCTTTGTGGCTTATGTGACTATCGTATTATACATTTCCTGTTTTGGTCATGTACTCATGTTAGTTTAATCTGCTTATATAGACGTAGTTGTAGTCCCAATGAGGATCTCAAGACCTATCGATAGGAAGTGTTGTTTGACAATGTAAACATCAGCTGCTTCTTTCTGCTGCAAGTGTCTATCCTTCGACCATAACCTCTGGTCTGATCTGGGATGGAGCCCCATCTGTAGTTGTTTAAGTCAGCCGTGGTGTTATTTAAATCGGGCCCCCGAGGGATTATAATAACTGCTTGTTAACTTATTCAACGTCTTTTAGTTTATGAACTATAATGATATGCTACAGACAAAAAAAAACTGCAATAAAATGAAATTTTGGGCCTAATGCCATGCTTCTGTTAGCCATGGCATTGACTAGAGATGCTATGATTAGGCCGAAACAAAGTTGTTTCAACATTAGCATGGCACACTACTAGCGTTAGCACGGCGCGAGACCAATATTGTTCTAGAATTAACTTTTGACTTAATATGGTCCATAGCGTTAGTATGGGCACTATACTGGTTAAAAATAAAAAAGACGATCTTGTACACCCGAGTGTGCACTTGTCAATTCCAGAACTTGTACTCCTACCTTATTATTATTGAAAAAACTCCAAAAATTGTACCCCTCCTCCTAGATTAACGCCCACATTGTATTTTGAGAAGTCAATTAATTCAAATTTTACTAGATTTACAAAAGAATAATATTAATATATATATCCAAATAGTTTTTCTAATAATTTGGTATCATGAATTTTAGTAACTTTTATATAAATTTTGTTAGACTTTATTGTTTGCTATTTTGGTACGAACTACGGAGGAAGTACAGACTCTGCACATTAATACTGAGGGCTTCGTGCATGCGGTCCTCTGTCCTTTTCTGTGTGGCCTTCGTCATAGAAGAATTAAATCAAACTATAAATGAGGATTCAATGGTGCTCATCACAAAGCAGAAGGATCCTTTGAAACAAAAAAAAGTTAATAAGAATCATCCAGAAAAAAATCACAGAAATTAATTTATTTGTATATGAAAAACATAGGATTCATAAACATTTCCACATTCCGACAGGGCTTAAGACGGATAAAAAAATTTGATATGGAAAATATATTATTTTCACCAATTGAAAATCAAAAGAGTTTTCTAAACTGAATTTTGGGGTTTCCAAAGTCTTTCTTTTTGTTGAGTACTCCCTCCGTCCCACGAAAAAACGCAATTCAAGAGTTCAAAAATTTTCCAAAAAAAACGCTAAAGTAGCATACCAGCCTACTACACCAGGCCTAGGGTGGGGAACCCACACCAACAGCACCAGCCATACTGCTGCCACGAGACTTCTCATCGTTAAATAAAAAAAAGAAAAATTCATCCCAACACGCTTTCACTCTCCTCCACTCGTTTCGGCAGGAGGCACGCGCAGGCGCCCTCTCCTCATCCACTCCTTTCCTCTGCCGCATCGCATCCTCCGCCCAAGCCTCCCCCACCGGCCCTGTTCAGTCTCTATCCGGAGCTCCCAACCCTTCCCAGAGTGAGCCCCATCTCTCCAGATCTGGTTCCCTGGTTCCTCTTCTAGTCTTCCTCTTACAGCTCTCGTCCTCGTTCCGGCAAGTCTGGTGGCGGCAGGTGCCCGAGGCGTCACCGGTGGAACCGCCGCCGATGGAGGCACCGCCGGCATGAGGGTGGCGCCAAGATATGCGACGATGATGATGGTGTGGAGTGTGTTGTGAAGCCAGCCGACGTTGAGATCCAAAGTGACGCCAAAGACTCGATCTCTGTGCGCGACCGCCATATAGGATGGGGTCGCCTGCGCGTCAACGCTCAAGGCATCCTGTATGTGCTCGACTCCGAGGATGAAGACTCTGGCATGGAGGTCGACGCGGACAGCGTAGGGGTGGCCGCCGAAGGTGCCGTGATCGCGAACAGGGCGGATCTGTCCGTGGAGAGGCCCCCGGTGTCCGGTTCCGGGGCTGCCGACGAGGATCTGCCCCTCGGCCCTCCGGTGGTGGCCCCAGACGATGCTTCCGGGATGGACCTGGCCCCAGTAGTGGCTGCACGTTTGAAGGAGGTGCTTGCTAACATGGATCCCATCTACCATGAGGTCTTCATCAGCATGTATAAGATTTTGGTACCTATATTCTTCCGTCCCCAGTTTATATGGCTTTATGTGTGTCATGGAATGCTTATGATAAATGCTCTTGATGTGGGAATGCTTTTGTTCTGGGATTATGGACTCCTATATAAGATTTAGGTTAGCTGTGACATATCTTGTTATTTAGGTGTGGGATAGTATGTTGAACTGTTGTACATGTTACTACTTGTGATACTGAACTATGGTTTAGGTGTCGGATGTCATGAACTGATGTGTAATGGTACCTGTCGTAAGACTTATTCTAGCTATTGAATTTGTTGTTCTTATAAATCTGTACGACATTCTTTGGTTATGTCTAGTTTAATGCTCTTTTTGCAATCATTTAACAGTATAATGTCATGCCCAATTTAGTTTTTGCGTATCACTAGTACAACCTATTATGTGTACGACGGCTGATGCTACTGTTGCGTGTTGTTCCTATGCGTGCAGCGAACAATGCAGAGCGAAAAAAGCCGATGCTGCTTGTCCTTAAGCTGCAGCGACACACCATACAAAGTTACAACTTCATTTAATTATAGCAGTACCAAATGGTCATGACTTTATATTACAGCACTAGCAAAATGCTCATGACTTTATATTACATCAGCAGCTACATACTCATTGCTTATATTACAGCATCACCAAAATACTCGTGAGGAATATACGGGTCCGCATGTTCATGATTGTGTCCCAAGGATGCGACCACATCCTCATATAGCTGTCGGTCACAACTAAGGGTTTTAGGGAGTATGCCTAGCGCCTCCAACCTGTCTTTGTCCATGTGAGGAATTTTGTATCTGTTTCCTCCTCCATCTTTCATGACCTCAATCATACACCCTTGTAGTGTTAGGAACACCCTATTTAAAGTATTTGGATCATAGTTATCAAACTCATTTTTGACATTCTGAATCAGGTCATCCAAGTTCCTAGAGATCCTTTCATAGGTCAAGGACTGAAGAGAAGCAAAGAATCCTAGGTCTAGTACATTCAAATATGGAGAATTTGCAGGTTGGTTGACGAGTCGTATGTCCAGCCCTGTATGTGCTACAGCCCTAGCAAATTCTTCGTCATCTTCTGGAACATGTGAAGGGGCATTGTCTTGCTGAATGTATATGGTTTGTCCTCTAAGTTCTCGTGGCCACCGTCGAACAATAGCTTCTAGAACTTTACCAATCAGGTACGACCGCATAGTTGTTCGATCTACCTTAATAGGCTTGGTGACTTCGGTCCCTCTCCCCCTATTACGGCTTCTTCTTTTTGCTTGTTCCTAGAGTCCATGAAAAGAATTAAGGATCAAAAGTGTTAGCACAAACTAATGTAAGAAAGTGAAACAAGTTGGTGTTGTACCTTTCTAACAAATGGCCACAATCCTATCTTCCCATCAAAGATGCAATTACCTGCATCATCGTATATAGGTCTTCCTAATGCCGACAATAACATAACTTTGCCAATACGATTCTTATTTTGCACGGTCCTATGTGGGTCGTCCTCTCCTGGAAGCATATAATACTTCGTGTACTTTGAAGTGGTGTTGAACCACTTCTCGTCCATGTGGATGATGTTTTGCATTGCCCTGAACTTGGGTTCATGTGGTAGTGTCCGGGGATCTAACATGGAAAGACACCATTGGAGCCTGTCTCTTTTGTTTTGTTCCGTCAATAGAGGCTTTAGTGTGCTAGAGTGACGTCGTAGTAGCCCTTTCTTGAACCACCTATGCAGAGTGCTCTTTTTGACACCAATGGCTTCCGCTAGAGATCGAATAGTGCTTCTTCTATGCAACGGAACACTGAGAACCTCAGATAGGTCTATTTGCAACTTTTTGCGGCCACTTCTCTTAGGCTTCCTTGATCTAACATCAACTGGAATTCCTTGGGCACGACATTGTTTTGCTCGCTGCCAAATGCGCTGCACTTTATACCTGCTCACCTGGAACATTTGTGCTACTATAGTTGTAGCTTTCCTTTTTAGTCTTCGACGATTACTTCTCTCAAGCAATGCTGCATAGATTTGTTGTCGTTCAGTTTCTGTCAAATTTCTGGACTGATGTGCATTGTTTTCATTTGCATGGTGATCTTCTTCGACATCCGAGCCCTCCAACTCCTCTTCATCGAAGACTATGTCCACAGCATCAGCGTAAACACCATAGTCATGCATGTCTTCCATCATGCCTACAAAAGAATTAAATGGTGAGTTTTGGAGCAATTGGTGCATATTTGTAAGTGTTAATTTTTTTTAGAATTGTGGTTCAACATGAGTCTAAGAATCTGGGTCTAGAATATTTTTTATATGGTAGACAGACATTAACTAGTTGAAAAATCTTTTGTCGAATGGACTATAACTGCAGGCCTTTTCATCCATTAAAAAGGAAAAGGGTAGCTGGTCGTTAGTTTACCGTGCATCTGCTGCTGCAGATCAGAAGGTGCAAAGTTTAGATCAAATTGATGTGGTGGACCGTCAAAGTTGAGACATGCAGCCTGTAGATGCTCTTCCTCTACTCCAATTACTGCAATGAGGTGAGGCACAATATTTAGTTCAAGTTTGATTTTAGTTGGAAATAGGTAATTCGAACTGAGCTTGGTCTTACTGCTGTCCAGATGCAATGAAGAGAAAAAGAATCACCTTTATGATGTTTTTGTTCTCCCTCAGAACCAGCAACATTGAGATCAATGACATGCAAACCAAGGCATTCATTGTGATCAAGATGTACGGGCTGACCTTGGAGATGGGATTCATCTTCATAAAGTTGATCTTCCTGGAGATGAGCGATTTCATCTTCTTGCTCATACACAGGGTTTTCATTGAGATCAGGTAAGAGGTGTCCATGTTGATCTTGGAGATGGGCTTCATCTTCATAAAGTTGATCTTGCTCATACGGAGGCTGTTCATTGAGATCAAGTAGGACCTCTCCATGAGGATCTGAAAGAGTGTTAAGATCTATGGCCATGGCTGGTGATGGAAATGGCTTCCAGGCTGATGGAGTGGATGTTCTCGTGTGTCCTGCAGTTATACGAGGGAAGGAGGGGTGTGGCACAGGCGGGAAATCCTCTGGCGCGGTGGTTTAAATTTTGCATTCCCCACGGTTGATTCTGAGCTACAAACTGTGGGCAAGCTTTCTGTAATGACACGTGTAATGGCCGTGTCTCTAGAGTGTTCTCTGAAACTTTGCGAATGTTACACGTGTAATACCTCTCCTCTGGTACTGGCTGCAATTGCTACCGTCAGATTCTTGTTGTTTGGAATGATTACAAACATGTCAAATCAGTTTATAGGGGTATTCTGGTAATTTTCTATGTTGCATTGGTATCTGTGTCCAGTCCTCCGATTGCATTTTTTGGTGGGACGGAGGGAGTACACTGTAGTAGTGACATCATCAAGGGCCTAAACGACGAGCAAACACGCACGAGCACTTGCGTTGAAACTTCATCAGAGTGCGTTGTCTCAAACCGTCACGAAGTCGATGCGTCCTGTCCTGTGCTCGGCAGGCGATGACACAAAAAGTAGCCTGTACGTACCTGCACGACTGTAACAGACGTGACTGACCTCTGTTTGTAGTAAATAAATGCATGCGTATACGGTGCGTGTAGCGATATGCGAGCGTATAAAGGTACGTGCGTCTCCCCCGTATAGCGTACGAACTCACCTGTAGCACCATTGAAAGGCAGTGCAAATGTGCGATGCCAAATGATAATCCTACCGTGTCGGCGAGCACACACGGAAAAACTTCTTCCTTTTTTTATTTGAAAACAACACACGGAAAACTAAGGATGAAAGCAAATTTATTTGTAAACAGTAAATAGTTTTAAATTTTTGATAATGATTACACCCAGGCCGACCCAGGAGCTCCGCGCACCGCGTGCCCCGTCCCCGCTCCGCCTGCCGCCGTTTTTGCCACTCGCAAGATCCCCTGGGCGACGACAGATCCGGTGGTGGCTAGGGTTATGGCATCGGCTACGGGGGCTGCGTGTCCTGCGGGAGCCTAGGATATCGGCGGCCACGAAGGGGTCCCTCGCCGGCCTCGCAGTAGGCAGAGTCGATCTGATCGATGATGCGACGGCGCGGCTGCCTCCAGTGAACTCAACATGCCGACGAGCCTCACCAATCTCCCAAGCAGCAAGAAGATGTTGTATTGAAAATAATGTTGCAAGCATATGTTTCAAGTGTTTCAGATGTTTCATAGGTACTACATCTATCTCTAAAAGAAATCAATTCTAGCACAGTGTCACGTTTTAGCACCTTAAGTTTGAATAATTATAAATAAAAAATATCAATGTTTATGATACCAAACAAATACCATAGATTAATTATGAAATGTATTTTTATAATAAATTAATTTAAAAACATAACTGTAAATATTATTTACTAAAAACTTGGCCAAACGTGAACCACTTTTCGTGGCACGTAGCCTACAGTTGCATTCTTTTCAGGACGAAGGTAGTATGTTGCAAGTGTTTTATATGGATATTGCAAAAGTAGATCGGAATGTTGCATATGTTGCAATGGTTGTACACGTATGTTGCAAGCTTCTGTTTCCAATGTTTTATCTGTTTTTCACACATATGTTGTAAGTGTGTTTAGCTGGATGTTGCATATGTTTCATACATATATGTTGCAAGTGTTTTATATGGATGTCGTGTATGTTTGTAACGGTTTCAAGTTTTTTTCAAGGTGTTTTTATAAGTGTTTCAGACACATGTTTCAAGTGTTTCATCTGTCTTCAGACGTACTATTTTGCAAGTGATGCATCTGGATGTTTCAAAAGTACATCAAGTGTCGCATCTCCCTCCTCGCCTTCTATTGCCTCGCCTTGGTGTCTCCTCTCACCTTTTGTTGCCTTGCATCTTTCTCAGACTGCGGTGGGGGCTACGACGGGGGATGGCAGCGTAGACACGATAGCGCGCTCTCCCCTTCTCTGTTACGCGGGCAGGGTAGGGATACCGCTTCTGTTGTCTCTGTTAGTGCGAGCGGCCTGAGATCGCATTCCTGTTGGTGGGCCGCGACGCATGGTGGAGTCGATTTGCGGTTGGCTGGTAGACGCGTCCCAGGTGCCGGACGTCCGAGCGCTAGCCTCTCCTTTAAATTTTTGCAGGTTATAGATAACCCGTAAAATTAAGTCTACTTATAGATTCGCATATAAATCAGTTTGAAATAAATCTTAACTCTTCTTTCCCTAATGCAAAAACAAAATCTGCCACAGCGGGATGGCCATATCAAGACGCATGTCCCCTGCAACGGCTAACCGGAGACGAGTTACCATCTCTGTCTCCCATATGCCTTCATCCAAGCGGTCTGCAACCAAGTTGCAACCTAGGAAAATTTATCGTAACATCTACCTCATCCACCGTGCAACTTTTGATAAGTAAAGGCCAAATGATTCTTATTATTTAGAGAATTTCTAGATTTATTTTTACTCTAGCATGTGTAGCCTTGACTAAACATGGAGTCTATTGGAGCCTTGTATAGTTCTTTTGTTTGAGACCACGCTACTAAATTATTAGCTGCTTACAGTTCGTTGTCTGTAAGTTTCCTCTACCTTATATATAGATAACTAAACAAATAGCTTGTACAATGAGTTGCATGTTTAATTGTCTATAAATTATTTAATGCTTCCATGGTCAAACATGAATAGAAGCGAGAAATTGTTTAACTGTCTGCAACTTTCAATCTCGATCCACTTCGGAAAAATAGAAGAACATTCTATTTTTTCCAAAGAACTTGCAAATCGGCTGAAACTTATAAATAAAATCCATATAAAATAAAAGAAGTTGACAAACCACTTTGTATTTGGATCCCAAAATTTATGTAAGTTTATTTCTCGCTTATATTTTATTGCATTTTCACCTAGAACCCACCACTTCTTCCTATTTTTGCCATCAGCTCCTTGCTTAAATAGATCACGAACTCGGGAACGGCCGCTATGGCCGGCCGGGGCTGGCCATGCCACCGCCACGCCATTCGACGGTCGTGCCGTCGTCATGCCGTTGGACGATCATGCTATCGCTGCCCTCTTTGGCTCCTCCTCCATAGCGTGCTTCTATGGTGACAATGGAATGGGGAGGCAGGGAGAGCACGGGGAATAGGCAACGCCCACACAGGATCGGCTCATTCGTTACCGGGAGAAGACACGCTCTACAGCACATCATCGATTTCTCGGAGCATAGACCGAAAACTGGCATTTCGCGAGACGATGACCTCGTCCGAACCGCTGCTCGCGAGGGAGTTTGTTGAAAGTGTTATGACTTATGAGACGCCGACGACTCAAGGAAACGTGTTGTATGTGCTCTAGTAGCTTTTTTTCTTCCATCTTTCACTTTTTTCTCTGTCATCGATAACACTGCCCTGCACCATCGCCCGTTCTCTTCCCTCTAACACGCGACCCTTCTCCTTGGCGCCTTGACGACATTGGCTCTTGTGCGAGTCCCCATCCTCCTCCCCGTTGGTGCGAGTGCGGCGGTGGAGATCAGTGCAAGTGTGTATGGTGGAGGCCAGGAACGGAGAAGACATCGCGAGAAGACCGTCACGTGCGCGGTAAGTGAGTCCCTACCTCCTCGTCGGTGCAGTCGCGATGGTGGTGGAGGCCGGTGCAGGCGCAAGTGCTAGATGTTGAGAATGTAGGATGAACAAAGGATCCATTGCGGAGAGACCAGCGTGGATGATAGAGGTTGATGCCGAGTACGGAGAGAGCGGGCGGTGGCGGATCAGACATCTCGCGAGAGACAACGGCAGATCGGATGATCCCCGAAGGAACGTGGGAAGGGGGAGGGGATTTAAGGGCCCTCTATTTTAATGACAAGAGTAGGAGTACGTATGCTCGAAAGTATTTTTTTTATTTCATGGACCCTCAAATATAAGGTAAGTTGTTTTATTTCCCCTAAACCTTGCTGCTAACAGTTCACGAATAGCTTTTCACCGCACGAAGCATTTGCGCCCGGCTTACCGTACAAGAGATACTACTACTGTACTAGCACAAATGCCGCAATTAACAAGCGGTGATTGCCATTGCACTAGCATAATCAACAAGCGTCACATCCAACGAGCCAATCAGCGTGAATTCAACTCGACCGGAAAAAAAATTACCAAAAATCCTGACGACCTGTTGCTTTGCTGCCAGTCTGATTGGAGATGAGCGCGTGCGCGTGCAGGTTTTAAATAACAGGCCCCCTGTCAGCCTCCCCTTCCCCCCTCACCTGGGAGAGAGACGGAGAAGTGGATTAGACATTAGTGGAAGGAGGAGGAAGAAAACCCCTCTCTGGTCTCCGCTGCTCAAGAACAGTTACCCCCCGTTACCCCGGCCCCCGGGGGAAAAGAGAGATTAGCAGAGGAAACAAACCCAGGCTTCCAGCTTGTATATGTATAAATACCCAAACCCCACCCATCACCTAAGAACCGCATAATCGAGTAGGAAGGAGGCGCCTTTCCGGGGTTTTCCTCTCCAACTCGGGGTTTTCGATCGGGAGCGGTTTCCGGCGAGATTTTGACCCGGCCCGGTGGTTGTTTCCATTGATTTCCGTCTGCTATTCCTTCCCCGTTCTTGTTGGTTGCCTTACCTTCCCATTCCCTGATCGGAGCCTGTCGCCGGCGGGGACTCCTCGTGTGAGTTTACTGCCCGTTACTGGGAGAAGGAACAGAGAACAAAATTCTTTGGGTTCTGATCGGATCCGAGGACGGGGCAATGTGGTAGGAGCGGCCATTACTGCCGGAGTTTGATCCATCCAAGGAGGCCGCTTTCTTTTCTGGTGAGCTTTTGGCCTCTGCGCCGTCTCTGTTCATTCTTTAAAGCGACTACGCAACAAAAGCGGTCGCAGAAGTTGCCATCTTTTTCCCTTTCATCATTGCTGATGGCATCGCCTGCCTGCTCACACTCACGCAGAGGCAGAGGCGCTCGCCATGCTGCGCAACAGATCGAGAAGAGCGGTTGGTGGTGCTGGTGCTGGTGCCAACCAAGGAGGAGCAGGCGGCCTCATGGCTGAGCTCCCCGCGGCCACTGCCGCCCAATCGCCGAGGCATCCATCGTCGTCCTCTTCTGCTGCCGCTCCTGTGTTCCCTTCCCCGAGGCCGTTCGTGGCGATGGCGCTGCCCCAGGCCGGGCTCCTGCTGGACGGGTCCTCCGAGGGCCCCTCGTCAGCCGTGAGCCCCACCTCCATTCTCGAGACCAAGCAGTTCTGCTGCTCCGCGCTGCCCCCGTTCCTGTCGGAGAGGAGCCTCCGGAGGGCGCACACGGACGCGACCGCGCCTCCGGAGCCGGCCGGCGTCGGCCTCGCCGACGTGCTCCGGGACCACGGGGACGCCAAGGTCGCCGGGGCAAGGTGGTGTTCGGGTCCCAGCTCAGAATCCAGGTCCCATCAGGCAGGGCCATCGAGCTGGTCTCCTCCCCGATCGAGTTCGGCGCCAAGAACAGGGACGCGCAGCTCGCGGTGCTATCGCCGGCCAGGAGGTTCCTGCCGGAGATCGTGAGCTCGCCGTCCGCCCGGGTGTTCGCCGGCGGCGTGGCCGTCGTGCCCCCCGGGGAAATGGCCATGTCGGAGGACTACACCTGCGTCATCTCGCGCGGCCCGAATCCGAGGACCACGCACATCTTCGACGACTGCATCGTCGAGAGCTGCGGGGATTTGCTAGTCGACAAGGCTGACAAGGCCGCGGCCGCCGTCGCCGGCGGCGGAGCTGTGGCGTGTGGCTTCTTGAGCTCTTGCCATGCATGCAACAAGCAACTTGGACATGGCAATGACATCTTAATCTATCAGTGAGTAATCATCTCTGATTTCCTTCTGTTTCCGCAGTAACGATTTTCCGAATGAAAATCCATTTGGGTTCACTGTAGATCAACAGAACTAATTGCTGTATTTTCAGTAATTGATTTGGATTCCTCTGCTCCTTGCTCGTAAAGTTAAATGCATGAATGATATGTTCACATGAGAGGAAGGACAAATCACTGTCAGACTATTGCCTGTCCTAGAGGAAGCATGAATGAAAAATACATAATGATCGTTTGATGTTAGGAGTTAGGACACCAGCTTTGATAACATGATCTGCTAGATCTGAACCACACAACACCACCACCAAAATAACACATTCAGACACGCAGTGTATGTGTTACCAGTTTATAAGACTTAAAGGGTGTAGTGTAGCAGGACGAAGAATTTAGCTTCCTGTACTAAAATTGACAGCACCCTGTGTTCTCACAGTGTAATATTTTTCCCATTAGTGACCCAGGAATGTAAAATAACGCTGATTTCATAACTCCTGTTTAGATGATAATAAGTGAATTGTCATAGGGTTGACACCCTATGGGAGTGAATTTAGGCTAGCTAAAAAAATCCCATCACCAGCAAAGGCGGGGTTAGGAGATTTTTTAGGCTAACAATGTTGAGTTCTTTTATTGTACCTTAAAAGCAATGCCCTGGAGAGTTTTGGTTATGTACTGTTATTTGACACGAAGATGGCTTTCATCATTGCCTGGGGGACCTTGTGAGTAGTTCTAACGTTGGAGTCGTTTATGACTTTCTGATTGGAGTGTGGATCATACAGTACATATTTAGTGGATCTTATCAAGATTATATCAGCTTTAGTGTGACCAATCTTCACTGATAGTTTGATACCCCTTTAAATTTAATACTATACACTGCTCATCGGAAACATGTTGCTTGCTCATTTGAGATCGTGACGCCTTGATTTCCTGTTGCTTTCGAAGGGAAACTTGCTCCTTGTTTAAGCCACATATTTAAAATACAGTGTGTTTACTTGGAGTAGCTGCTTATAAGATTTAGAATTCCAGATTGTTACGTTTCGCTTTCACATCGAAAACTACACAAAGGAGTTCATTATCCTATGGCAGGGGTTTATATATTGACAATTTGCAAATTAATTTGCACCCATTGATGCTGCTAAATGAGGTCCACGTCCCAAGCCGTGCTGGTCTTGGTGCTCCTACTCCTAACTCCTGACCATGAGCAGGACCAGCCATCATCGCCAAAAACAAAAGTTTCAACATCCTAGTTGCGAATTTGACAGCCTCTTGATACCAAAAGATATATACTGAGTTTGCTTGGATAAGACGGCGAAAGGGATTTCCGCCTTGTCTTGTTCTCGTTTTTCCTTGCTTGCTGCTGTGTATGATCCATGGGAGTGCTAAATGGTAGCTTTGAGATGTGCTCCCAAAACATTTTTGGTTCGCATCTTTCTGGTTCTCTAATTCCTCGAGCACAGTAGTTTTATTTGTGCCTGTGCTGTTCACAAAGACGTAGCGTGAGCAGCGCTTCTCTCGAAAAGCTATACACGTTTTCTAATCCATCAGTTAGGTCATCACTGTTCTGTTATGATATAATTGTTCCTTTTTTTGTCTCTCTTTTCTCCAGAGGTGATAAAGCATTCTGCAGCAGTGAGTGCCGGTACCAGGAGATGCTTTTCGACGAAGCAGTGGACAATTTGCGCTAGGCGATGAAGGGAAAGGAGGGTGTTAGTGGAGAAGGCATGATAATCCTGAATAACCGAGAAGAGATTTCTTTCTTCTTTTTTTCCCCCTTTCTTTCGTTTCCTTTCGTTCTGTCACCTTTGCGAGATTGCATGCTGTTTTTGGTCATGGAGGAGGAGGAGGGAATGATATAGTCTTTTGCGGATTAAAGACCTTTGGAGCCCACTTTTGTAAGAGGTTGAAGATTGATGACCTGGGCTTCTTGTTCATGCAACTTTCCCAGTTAGTTCCGAGCTATGATGCTCCTGTTCTGTTATGCTTCGAATGCTTGTCCATGTGACTCACTCATTCAGAGTGGATTCTGAAGTAAATTGAAAGAAAAAAAAAACTTAGCTTCCTTTGCCCCGTTTCTATGCGTCCTGTGAGTAAAAATGAATTCTAGGCCTATTTACTTGGGATTTTGATATTTGATGACTAATATAATTAAATTGAACTAATGAATTTGTAAATAATTATTTTGTAGTTCAATAGGATACAAAACGTGACTTGGACGAATGCGACGTGATGATCCGATGATCAACACCTCAAGAAAGACATGTGAAGATGCATAAAAGACATACAAGGTCAAGCAAAGTTCAAGCACAAAGATTGAAACCAAGCGGATGCAAGATCACGAAGAAACGAACCTGACAGAGATGACCGGACGCGGCCCTATGAGTGACCGGACGCGTCCGATCAGGTGCTCGGCAACACCAGGCGTCGGCAGCAGTTGTGACCGGACGCTGAGCAGCAGTGACCGGACGCTGAGCGAAGCAGTGTCCGGACGCACCGGTGACATTGTTCATCGTCACGACAGTGTTTTCAGCGTGACCCGACGCGCAAAAGAATCGACGACCGGACGCCGGACGCGAAATCTGACGTCGATCGAGTCGAAGAGAGGTTCTAGAGCGGCGCCCCAGCGTGGCCGGATGCGTCCGGTCGATGATGACCGGACTCTGAGCTGAGTCCGATCAACGTGCGCTCTCCAACGGTCGGGACGACCGGACGCGTCCGATCAGTAGCAGAAAGCTGGGTTTCACCTCCAACGGCTACTTTCTCGGTGTGGCTTATAAATAGACCCCCAACCGGCCATTTGAGTAGGGTGGAGATGAGAAAACATATCAAGGGTATTGATACATTATTTTAGTGATCTCCACTTGCATAGTGCTTAGTGATTCATCGTGATTAGCGTAGGTCCTTTGAGAAGTGCTTAGGTTGATTAGACCACCGCTTATGCGCGCTGCTCTAGGTTTAGGCCTAGTGTTTAGTGACATTTGCATACCTCTTACATCTTTCGGTGCTTACGCGCACTCATTGTTGTACATCGGAGGGCTTATAATCTTGCGAGATCACACCTACCGTGTTTGTGGTGTGGCCGCCACCGTGTATCGAAGGAAACATGGCCATGACGGTTCAACCGGAAGGTTGATAGTGAAGACGGCGGGGAGCATCTGGGAGAGGCTTGCTTGGGAAGGCACGCCGGAGACCCACTTGTGCGTGGGGAAGGCCCGAGGCTATCCACGGAGATACCCGACCGGGAGCTTGGCCCTTGTGAGGATTCCTGTGAGGGGCTCCAACGATGACTAGGGGAAGCTTGCACGCTTCTCGATACCTCGGTAAAAATATCGAGTCGTCAAGGGGTTTGCATATCTCTACCTTACTCTTTAGTTTCCGTATTTACATTGTTTGCATAACTCCTTTTGCGTAGAGAGATAGCAACACACTAGCAAAAAACCGTAGTTACATATTTAGATAGTTTATCTTTTGTATAGGTTTTGCTAAAGATAGAAAAATAAGCCATAGTTTAAAGTTAGACTTTTAAGTTGCCTAATTCACCCCCTCTTAGGCGTCACGGTCCCTTTTTAATTGGTATCAGAGCCGGTTGGCTCAATTTGGATATTTGGCTTCACCGCCGTAGAGCCGACGCTATTTAGAGTGATTGGGATGGACACCTCTAGGCCTCCGCACTTTGACGGCGCTAATTTTTTCTACTATAAAGCTAGAATGGCTTGTCACCTTGAGGCGGTAGATTTTGATATTTGGACAATCATTCGTGACGGGATAAAACCCATTAAAAATCCCGATAAACCCACAAAGAGTGAAGAAAAAAAGAAATTCATTTCAATGCTAGAGCTAAAATTGTTTGTTTAAATCTTTTAGCATGGATGTGTTTAATCAAGTGTTCACTTTAAATACGGCTCATAAATTTTGGTTAAAACTCCAAGAGCTCCATGACGGCACAACTAATATCCGTGAGCAAAAAATATTGTCTAGCTAAACAAAATTATGATTCCTTTAAAATAAATGATGATGAGCTTGTTCGTGATATGTATTCTCATTTGAATCTAATTATCAATGAGCTCCATTCAATAGGATTAACAAAGCTAGATGATACGGACATCGTGAGAAAGATCATCTCCGTGTTACCACAAAAGAAATATGCAAGCATCATCATCATCCTTCACAACATGAAGGACTTGAGCACCATGACCCCGCCATAGTTATTGGCAAGATAGTGGCATTTGAAATGTTACACAAGATGGGTTAAGAAGAAGCCTCTTTATCAAGCAAATACAAAGCTCTCATATATAGTGAGAAAAAGAAGATGAAGGGAAAGTAAGTTGAGACAATCTCAAGCTCAAGCTCCTCAAGTGAAGATGAAGAAGATGATGATGAAGATTCAAGTGATGATGATCAATCTTCCTTCTCCGCCTCCAACCTTGAAGAATCAATCAAACTTATCAATAAGGTGGAGAAGATGATCCAAAGGCTCAATGTCAAGGGTGTGCTCATCCAAATTCAAGATTTCATCTTCACCAATCAAAGAAATGAGCAAAGAAAGATAGGATGCTATAGATGCGGTGAGTTAGGGCACTTTGTGAAAGTTTGTCCAAACAAGCCCACACCCAAGACAAAGAAGAAGGCGTGCAAGGACAAAGCCCTCACATCAATAAAGTCATAGGATAGTTCTTCAAGTGAAGAAGAAAACCATCACAAGAGGCGATGGCACAAGCACTCATCATTAAGCACCTCACGTGTGTGTCTTATGGCACGAGGTAACAAAAAGCCTATCCCTAGTGATAATGACAATAATAGTGATAGTGATGATGAGCTACCTTCTTATGATGAAATTGTGCAAGAAAATCTTAACTTTGCTAAAATTTACACTAATCAACAAAAGAAGCTTGAAAAATTAAAAGAAAAACTAGATAGCTCACAACAAGCTTATGCTACTTTGCTTGAACAATATGAAACTTTTGTCAATCTTAATATGGAGCTATCTACTAAAATTGAGCA